TCATGGTAAAAGCTATCAGGAGACTAGAAGTAGAACAGAAACTTCTCAACAGATCAAAGACATGTACTCCATACTTCAGCAAAAAAGCCTTATATGAATGGAAAAGATACAATGCTTCCTCCCTAAGGTGGGGAACAAGGGCTGATACGCCTACTCTTCATCTCTCCATTAAACTTTGAAACATAGGCACAAACCAAAATAGTCTGGCAATAAAATGACACAATTAGCATAGGATTGGCAAGGTGGAAGTAAAATCTTTATATGTAGATGAAGTGATCATCAACAGAGAAAATACTAAGAAATCTCTAGGAGCCCCTAGAACTTGTAGCTGAATTTAGCAGGATTAGAAAACACAAGGTATAAATTCAGGTCTATGTATACTTGCTATAAATGGAGAATTGGATTTTGAAATTTGAAATTTATGTAGGAGTACAAACGACCTAGAAAAGTAAAAAGAAAAAAAAAACAGTGTTGGAAGACATTTATTACCTAATTTTAAGACTTCCTCTACAGCTATAGTAATCAAGGCAGTGTTGGTGTAAGGAAAGACAGATAGATCAATGGAATAAAACAGAGAATCTAGAAATAGAACCACACACATATGGTCCACTGAGTTTTGAAAGATTATTTAACATCAACATTTTATAGAACATAAACTCAACTCAGGAGCAGAGGAAAAGACAGTGTTTTCAGCAAATGGTACTAGAACACCTGTTATCTGTATATAAAAAATTAACCTCAGCCCTTTATTTCCATACATAAAAATAACTTGAAAGGATCTATGAACCTAAGTATGAAAGACTAAAACTATAAAACTTTTAAGAAGAAATTATAAGGGAAAATGTTTATGAATTTAGGGTGGGCAAGAATTTCCTAGGATACAAAAAACATGATGTATAAAAGACAGAAATTAATAAATGAGATTCCATCAGGATTTAGAACTTTAAATGACATCATTAAGAAAATGAAAAGTAGTCCTTAACCAGAACATTTTTATAATACATATAACCTATGACCAGAATATATAAAGAACTCTTACAGCTCATTAATAGACAACCCAATTAAAAAGTAGACACAAGAAGATGATAAATAGCCAGTACAGCACAAGGAAAGGTGTGCAACACTAGAATCAGAAAAATACTAATCAATACAATAACAAGACTGAATTATACATTCATTAGGGAGATGAAATTAAAAGTTTTAAAAGAACAAATGTCAGCTTAGGTGTGAACCAGTTAGAACTTTTTTTTTTTGGTACTGGGGATTGAACTCGGGACCTTGAGCACTTGAGAGTCAGGCACCTGAACCACTGAGCTAAATCCCCGGCCCCCTAGTTAGTACTTTCTAATACTGCTAATGTGAATGTAAAATGATAAAACCATTTTGGAAAACAATATAGCAATTTCTTGTATTACTGTTAAGAACCAACAGTTCTGTTCTTAAGTTTTTACTTAAAAGGAATGAAAACATATTCACAATACATTTGTACATACAAGTTGACTATCCCTTTTGTGAAATTCTTGAGACCAGAAGTGTTTCAGATTTTGGTTTGAAATCCACTTGATCTACAAAGAGGGTAGCTACTCCTGCTTTTTTTTGTCATGACCTTTTCTTTTTGTTGGATTCTCCCCCTTTGCATTTAATTTCTTGTTGCGCCCAGTGGATTCATTCTGCTGGGCTTTCTGGGGTTGTGATCCTCGTTGTCTTTTCGTAGGACGTTGTCTAAAAGTTTTTGGAGTGCCAGTTTGGTATTCATGAAGTTCCTGAGGTGCTCTTTGTCATGAAAGTATCTTATTTCTCCATCAATTTTGAAAGA